TGTGTATGCTGCATTTGTTTGATGTGTAAAGATGTGTTGCCTTTGTTGCACCTTGCCTGCCTAAGGCAACTAGTTTGTCTAATAAAAAGCTGAATGGCCAATAGCTAGGAAGTAGAGGGACAGGACAGGGAATAAGTAGGAGGAGGAATCTAGGCTTGGGAGAGAAGAGGGAGAAGAGGGAAAAAGAAAGGGAGATGTTCAGGGCCAGACAGCTGCCAGCCAAAAAGACACAGAGGAGGACATACAGAATAAAAGGAAGGTAATAAGCCCTGAGGCAAAAAAGATGAAGAGAAACAGGTTAATTTAAGTTATAAGAGTTAGCAAGAAACAGCGGAGAGAAATAAAAACAATTAAAAAAAAAAGTTAGCAAGAAACAAGCCTAAGCTAAGGTCCGGCATTCATAACTAATAATAAGTCTCAATGTCACAGTTTGGGAGCTGGTTGGCAGCCCACAAAAAACCTTGCTACAAAGGTTCCCTAAAGAAACAGAGCTGAGCTGGGCAGTGGCGATGCACACCTTTAATCCCTGCACTCTGGAGGCAGGGGCGGGTGGATCTCTGAGTTTGAGGCCAGTGTGGTCTGCAGAGTAAGTCCCAGGACAGCCAGGGCTACACAGAGAAACCCTGTCTCAGAAAACCAAGAAGAAAAATGAATAAATAAAAAGAGAAAAAGAAAACCAAGAAGAAAAAAGAAACAGCTGCTAGAATGAATATGTATATAAACATATATTAACAGAATGTATTAGGTTATCTTATAGGATGTGGTCCAGATAAGCCAACACAGGCTGCCTCACTTGAGAGACTAGACTTCAGTAGCTGTTCAGTCTTGAGGCTGGGTGTCTGAATAGTCCCAATGCAGTTCTGGGATCCTGGAAGATTCCTGGAGAGCTACAGGTCTTCAGACTGCATTGGAATCCCAAGGAGGTTGGTTCTAAGACCAGCAGAGGAATGTCTCAGCCACGGGAGAGATGACAAGATGACAAAAGCAAAGTTTCCTTCTTCCATGTCCTTTATTTGGCTGCCCTGCCCCCAGATTTAGGATTGGTCTTCTTGATTCAAATAATCTGATCAAGAAAATACATCACTGTGGGGCATAGCAGCACATACCTTTAGTCCTAGCATTTAGGAAGCAGAGGCAGGAAGTCGAGGGCAGCCTTGTTTTCATAGCGGATTTCAAGACAGCCAGGGCTCAATAGTTAGGCTCTGCCTGAAAGAGAGAGGGAGAGAGGGAGGGAGGGAAAGAGAGAATCCCTCACACGACTTGCAAGAGACAAACGTGCTCAGCCTCTTGGGTTTAGTTCATTCCAGATGCAGGTAGGTTGACAACCAAGGGAGTTCCAGAGGAAACTATTCTGGCATCTCAGGCAGATGTAACAGATTTGACAGCCTTACAAGGTATGGTGGAGACTCTCCACATCTTAGGAGATCAAGAAACCAAAGAGGACCCAGACTGGTAACAGGACAGCACTAGAACCCTCAAAAGTTCCCCGGGCCAATTGGACATGGTGGCACAAGCCTTTAATCCCAGCATCTCCGAGTTCAAGGCCAGCCTGGTCAACCGAACCAGTTCTAGGACAGCCAGGACAGTCCAGTCTCTCTGTTAGCCTCTGTCTAGTCTCTCTGTGGGAAATCCTGACCCCCCCCAATCACTCACACACACACACACACACACACACACACACACGTTCTCAGGTCAGTGACTCACACACCAGACGGCTCAATCCCCTACCCCCGCCCCCGAACAGCACCCCCATCTGTGGAGCAGGAGTAAACCCAATGGAGGAGACAGTCTGTACCCAAACCACAACAAAGGCCACTCAGGAAAGGCCTCAGAACAGTCTCTCCTAGCTGTTCCTGTGACAGGCCCACACAATGTCACGTGACTGCATCTATGGACCAATTGCCATCTTCTTGCCTCCAGCCTGCACCTGTTGCCTTTCTCCTCAGAGACCACGCTCTCAGCTCTGTCAACTGGGCCACAGCCAGTGTAAGCCAGCTGTTGAGCCCTTGAGGGCTGGGGGAGAGGCAGGCGCCTTGCAGCTGGCTTTTCTGGAAGCATCCCTGTTCCATATGCTTTGTTTCCCCACCCGCACCACTCTTGGGTCGCTACAGAGAAGGAGCAATGACAACAGAGAGACTAGACAGGACGGTGGCCTGGTGTCAAAACGGATCCAACTGGGTCCCGCTGCGCGGCAAAGCAAGCAGTGGAAATCCTTGGAAACTAGTATTTCAACAGAAACACAGGGGAAGGGATAGCGGCCAAGTGGGCAGGAAAACCTTGGCCCAGAAAAATGTCTTCTGGGCCAGTTTCCTCGTGGGGATCAAAGACAGATTCTGCTGCACCCATCCAGCTCTTGTTAGGGGTCCAGCAATGTCTCAGGCAGTTAGCACCCAACCGTCAGTCATTCTGCCCTGGCCACAACCCCTGCGAAGGGCTAACCACACCCATTTCACAGAAGGTGAACTGTCACGGTGGACAGCCATGCTGTTGTAAGGGAGCCAGGCTCTGTCTTGCAGCTTCATGATTGTTTGGGGGGGGGACTGAAATCCTACTCCCCCTTCTGCCCCATCCCCCTCTCCAGCTCCCCTTAGGCACCCAGATGTTTGCACCTGCCTGCAGGCCCACAGCTGGTCACCACTAGAGGCTTTTCCACACTCTCGGCTTCCACGCCATCCCCGAAAAGAGTGTCAGGGTAGAGAAGCCAGGGGACTTTGTGGCCAACGAGAAGGACTTTAGTAGGTGTCAGAAAAAATAGTCAAGTGTGAAATGAATTCCTGCAACCTCCTGGGCATGCTAGAACCTTCCTTTTGCCTTCTGACAGTCCCACAGCTAATAAATCAGAGGCAGCCAGGGCCAGAATGACCAAAGCAGAGCTGGAGGTAGCTTTTCAGAGGAGCCACCCAGAGGCCAAGAAGGAACTGCTCTGGCTAGCTGCCCCCTTCCCTGCCAGTTCTAACTTCCTGCATTTGCTGAGCTCTCCAGGATGGGTAGAAAAATCAAAGACAGTTCCAGGATAGATTGTCCACAGCTAGGGCTGAGACCTGGTTCGGGCAGCTTGTTAGATTTCCTGCGGGGAGGGAGGGCTGGGGAGATGTTCCCCACGAAAACACGAGGCCCTAAATTCAATCCCCAGAACATACATTTAAAAACAGGCATGGCAGTGCACACCCGTAACCCCAGGGTTCAGGCATGTCCTTGGTAGTTTTGGGGCCAACTTTTCTACGCAAACCAGCTCTAGGTTCAATGAGAGACCCTGTCTCAAAAAATAAGATGGGGATACACATAAGCTCTACCACTGAGCCATCCCCAAATCCTTCACCGGGAGATTCTGGGCAAGCATGTACCACTGAGCCACACATCCCCTAACAACTGTATATAAGTGCCACAAAACTACATCCAGCCCTCCCTTTGGTTTTTCTTTTAAGAGAGGGTCTTACTAAGTTGCCCAAGCTGGCCTTGCACTCCCTTATAGCCTAGCCTGGCTTTGAACTCGTGAATCTTCCTGTCTCGTCAGTCCAAGTAGTTAATAAGTCAGTTTTGGGTGTTGTTTGTAGGCTTTGTACCTGCAAGGCAAACACTCTACCACTAAACTGTATCTCCAGCTCCCTCCCCCAGACTCCTCTGGAAGAGAAGACCTGGGCACTGTGTTCCTCAGGCCTTCCCACAGTCACAGAGCTCTGCCCTCTGTGACCCCACCTGACCTTTAGGGGATCCAAAGTCACCCCAGCTGGGAGAGAAAAAGGCAGTTTTCACTTCAGCCCAAGTGACGGTTTGCCCACTTGGCTTCCTGTGAGGTTTGCGTCTCCCTTCCCTTTGTGAAGATGTCTCTTATCTTCAGGCTCTTGGGGGCTTTGGGGGCTGGGCCAATTGCCATTTGGTGACAGTTGGTGCCAACATGGGGCCTTTGGGGAAAACAGCAAAGAAAAAAACAAAACCATAGTGGGAGGCAGCCCTATGACCCTGTATGACCTCAGGGTCTCTGCCCCGCACTCCACCCCTGAAGGAGGTCCTTAAGTTGGCCCCATGATTCCTGTACAGGGTTACCTCTGTTATCTGCTCAGACTGGACAGTGACACCAAGATCACATACAGCTGTCCGGCCAATGTTACCCTTGGTATTCCAAAATAAGACCTGAAAATTCATTAGCTCGGCTACGCTGTTCTCCCACTATGGGACCAGGCAGTGCGCGGCTGCGGAGTCTCCATGTGGGTTACCCAGCTGGACCAGCAGAGGGGCTTGCCCTAGTCCCTGAATTAGAAACTCTGGACTTGGAGACTGGCAAGATGGCTCAGCAGTTAAAAGCACTGGCTGCTCTTCCAGAGGACCTGGGTTCAATTTCCAGCATCCACGTGGCAAGTCCATAACTTCCTGGAATTCCAGTGTCAGGAGATATGACACTGTCACACAGACATATAAGCAGACAAAACACAAATGTGCATAAAATAAAAATAAATAATATATATGAAATTCTGGACTCTTAAAAAAAGGGGACAGGGGGTCTTCTGTAGCCCAAGCTGGCCTCAAACCTGCTATGAATATGCCTTTGGTTTATGCAACTCTGTAAAGGAACCCAGTGCTTCCTGGATGGTAGCTGAGTTTCATCCCTAGCCTAGGAACTCAGGTAGAGGCAAAAGGATCAGGAGTTCAAGGTCACCTCTGGCCATGAGTCTGAAGCTAGCCTGGGCTATGGGAGACCTTATTGAAAGGAAGGAAGGAATCAAGAAATCGAAGAAGGGAGGGAAGGAAGAAGGGAAGAGGATCCGACACAGTGGCACCCACCTGTGATCCTATTAGTCAAGAGGCAGGCAAGAGGATTTTGGATAGTTCAAGGCCTGGGCTACAAATGAGAGCCTATCTTTAGGAAAGGATTTGAGGCCTCCCCCAGGGAAAGGAGTGCATGTCTGGCCTGCAGAACTGGTGAGAAGCCTGCAGCTAGGGAAGTCAGGCCAGACAGGGGAACTCCTGTTGATGTGTCAAATGACCTCATAAACCACCTAATATTTTTATTTTTAATTATATTTATTTACTTATTTTGTGTGTGAGGACGCCCACTGCACTCGTTGTAAAGGCCAGAGGACAGCTTGAAGGAGTGGATTCTCTCCCCTGTCATGGGAGATCCAGGCCAGGTCTTCAGGTGCAGCAGCAACAGGTACCTTTACTGACTGAGCCATCTGGGCAAGACTAAAATTGCCTTTTGAACATTTGTCTTTATACCCATAGACTAGTGAAGTTTGCAGCCTTGGCCAGAAGAGGCTTTCTTTAGTGGGCATGGGTTAAGGAGGACGTATAACTGGCCACGGTGCTGAGAATGAAGAATGAAGGCTCTTGAATGCCTGGTCCCAAACGGCTTCACCGCATCCAAATGGCGTCACCACGGAGTCCAAGGCCCAGAGAACACCTGGGAAGAGAATGTGGGAGGACTGTGGAAGCAGAATGACGGAAGTGAAGAGTGTGGAGGGGCTGTCAAGACCCTTGTGATCATGGGCACAGCTGTAAGACTTTAAGACAACCCTGAAGCCATTTCTGACAACTCTGAATCCTCTCAGCCTCCGTGCCATAGTGCTTCCCCTCCTCCCCTGGGAACCAAAGACCTAACAGCTACACTCGCACGTACTCAGTTCCTGAACAATTACCCATATACGTATGTTTTGGTTCGGTCCCCTGGGAAACGGGGTCAAAATGACCTCTTACCTCATCTGGTCTGGCAACAGCTCTCCAGTCAATTATTGGTAATAGCCCTTTCAAATAAGCCAATCAGAATAGTCAAAGAACAACCCCCCTTGCTTCTGTGGCCCCTTTAAAAATAGACTGTACCAGCTATTCGAGGTCCCTTGGCTTCCCGAATGCTGGGGGACCCTGTCATGACAGAATTAATAAAATCCTCATGCTTTTGCATCGGCTGTGGTGTATGAGATGGTCTCTGGGGGTGACTCCTTCTCAGTGTTTGGACGCTAGAGTCCAACACAGCAGCTATGCTTGCATGTGGCGGGGGGGGGGGGGCATGAGGACAGGAGAGGGGAGAAGTTGGAAAGGTCCTTTGAGCACTGGAGGGAATGGAAGAAGGGTGATCACAGTGCGCTGTATGACGCTGTCAAAAGTAAAAACACGGAAGAAGAGCAGTTCCTGTTTTACCAGGAAAGGAAAAAAAAATAGAACCTCCTTTTTTCTTTCTGACAGGCAGTATTTAAAAAAAAAATAAAGTGCTATCGTAATTCATCACATGAACTGATTGATGAATTCAGTATTAATGTCCATTCATATGCTGCTAAAAATACATCTTAACAACCAGATTTGTAGGGGCTGGATAGAGAGATGGCGCAGTGATTGAGATCACTTGCTGCTCTTCCAGAGGACCTGGGTTCAATTCCCAGCACCCACGTAGCAGCTCACAACTGTCTGTGACTCCAGTTCTAGTGTAAGTAACACCCTTACACAGACGTATGTGCAGGTAAAACACCAATGCACCAAAGAGATGATAGATAGATAGATAGATAGATAGATAGATAGATAGATAGATAGACAGACAGACAGACAGACAAATAGGCAGGTCAAAGAAGGACGGTCAGGAGTTCAAGGCTTGGCTCAACTGTGTAGCAGGCATGGGCTACATAAGATCCTGTCTCACATAAACAAACATAAACAAAAAAGGGGCTGGCGAGGTAGCTCAATTAATAGAGTTTAAACTTGCCTAGCAAGCTCCATCATGGCTTTGATTCCCAGAGCCAAAAACAAAAAATAGAAAAACAGGGATGGTGACACATTTGTAACGCCAGCACTCAGGTGGGACCAGGGTTATCCGAAATTCAAGACCATCCTTGTCTATATAGTGGGTTCTAGTTGTAGGTCATCCTGGGCTACATGAAGAAGCCGGGAGAGGCTGAGGAGGTGGCCTCCCTTTCGGGTCATCAAGGTTCTTCGTGCACCTGGCAGGGGGCGCTCTTCCCCGACTCACTGGCCTTGACAGGCCGCGCCGGACAGGGTCCCCTAGGAAAGCCTTCTTAAAGCGATTTTCGTTTCGCGCGAACTCAGCGCCTCCATCCAGCCGCGAGGTCTCAAAGGTGAGCCTCGCACAAATGCGTTGCAGATGTTTCTCCTTCCAGATCGGCTACCGCGGCGCGGCGCCGCGCGGCGCGACTCCAGCGGCCGCACAATCCTGCAGCGATCCGGTCCGCGTTTTACTTTCCACCCTCCAACTTTTGCAAGCTGTAGTTATTTGATAATGATTTTTTTTTTCTAAACCTCTCCCAATAATTGTTATCCTCCCCGCCCGGTGCAGCTCAGGTGATGGGTGCAGACAGTAGACGCCTCCTCCTCTTCCCGGGCGTGCAGCCCGGGGCCCTGGAGTAAAGAGCCACAGCCCAGTCGGCTTAGAAAGCCAAGGTTAAGCGCCCCGGGACGACCCCAAACGGCCCCCCACGATGATTTTCTTTGCACCCTGAACTCTCCTGGATCCAGGCCAGCTCTCCCAAAGCCTACTCCAGGGTTGTGGCTACCTCAGTTGAAAGGGTGCCACGGGCATACAGTCCTATGGAATCCAATCCTTGGAACATTGATCGAGCACCTACGGTATTCCCAAGTCCTGAGTAATGAACTCAACCACTCCAAAAACTGCCCCTGCCTTTGGGGATCCTGGTTCGAGAGAGACTCAGGGCCACCCCCCCTCACCTGGAAAGATGACAAGGCATTAGAGAGAAACACTCGGAAAGCAGCAGCTCTTACTCCTCGGCTCCCATGACGTTCTTGAAGGATCATGGCCGGCCTGGATGAAAATCTCATTAATTAGGCTCTTCTAAACAAAAGGCAGAAAGCAAGATCGTCACGGTGGAGCTGGTCCAGGCCCAACTGCTAGTGTCTCTGAACCTAAGCAAGCAGGTGCCTAGAGTCCCTGAGACAAGAAAGGGACCCTCCAGAAATGGCCCAGGTGAACTCCACCTCCCCACAAGACTTTGTATCTAGTCTGTTTGACCTGGAACTCATGACCCTCCCGCCTCAGCCTCTCAGTTAGGCGTGTGTGTGTGTGTGTGTGTGTGTGTGTGTGTGTGTGTGTGTGTGTGGTGCCCCAAGACCAGGATCCTGAATTTGCTATTGTTTTACTCTGTTTGTTATTGTTTCTCTTCCGTTTGGCGGGTTTTTGCATTTGTTATTTATTTATTTTGTGGGAGTAAGGGAAGGGAAAACACATGTTAAAGCCAGCCTGTGTAGGTCAGAGGATAAACCCTAGGAGTCCACTTTTTCCTCCAATCACGAGGATTCCAGGAATCCAACTCAAGTCCTCAAGCTTTGGCAAGCTCCTCTACCTACTGAGCCCTCTAGTCAACCTATTTACGTGTGTTTGATACTCAGTTAGGAATGATCAAAGAAGGAGCCCTATTGCTGGGGGGGGGGGTCTTAACCTCAGCTTGGTTGCTCCCCTGAAGAGTCCAGAAAGTTTTCCTGCTAAGCCTAAATGAATTGCTAGTTTGTACATAAACGGAGTGGAATGTGGGCAGCCAGCAGCAGGGGTTTAAAGGGGAGGAAGTGAAAGGTTGAGCAGCCCCAGGGGTGGTGTGGGGTGCTCAGAAGTAGGGCGGGGGGGGGGGCTGGCTGAGGCACTGGCTGTGGGGTCTTGAGTTCAATGTCATCCTCAGTTGTGTAGAAATCATGAGTCTGAAGGCAGCCAAGGTTACACTAGACCCTGTCTCAAAGCAACAACAACAAAACCTATGGTTTAAGATTCAATCGCTTTTTGTTTTTTCTTTTTCAATCTATTCCGAGACAGGGTCTAACTATGTAGCTCCCCCGCTCAGGCCCCAAACTTATGGAAATCCTCCTGCCTCTTACTCCTGGGTGTGCCTGGAACTATGACATACACCCCCTGCTGTGCCTGGTTAGGGTTTTGTCACATACTCAGGAAACCCTGAACAAAGTTGCCTCCTCCAGGAAGCCTTCCCAACTGCACAGCTAGGTCAGGTCTTTCCTGCCTCTAGGTTCACACACATATGCATACACAATTGGGATGACCCCCGTCTTACCAGGAGCCCCAGGGAGTAGGAACTGGGTGTGCTTGTCACCCCGTCCCCAATCTGACTAGCTTGCATAACCCCCCTTTCCTCCAGCTTGTCCCCTGGGGCTCCAGGGGACACAGCATCCTTAAAAAGGGCCCTCTCAACTGATTGTGCACACTTGTGATCTCAGCTGAGAAAAGAACCGCTAGAGTTCCCAGCCTGCCACATACCAGGCCAGCCTGGTCTACATAAGGGAGTTCCAGGTCTGCCAGGGTGACTACTGAGACCTTATTTCAAAAAAAAGCAATTTGCAACGGGGCACATGCCTTTGATCCCAGCACTCTGGAGGCAAGAGTCAGCAGGATCTCTGCGTTTGAGGCCAGCCTGGGCTACAGAGAAACCCTGTCTCAAAAATGAATGAATGAAAGCTTCATCAATAAATAAAAATAAAGGGGGAATGGCTCTATGAATAAAAATGTTTGCTAAACAAGCATAAAGAATTCGGATTTCTAGCACCTACATTAAAAACCTGGCGTGTCAGCAACACCAGCTCGGGAGCGTGGAGACAGGAGGATCCTCGGAGCTCTGTGGCAAGCAGTCCAGAGGAAACTGCAAACCCCAGGTTCAGTTAGAGACCCTTTCTCAAAAGCTATGGAGAGGCACTAAAAGAGACCCTGCATGCTGAACTCTGGCCCCATGTGCACGAAGCACACCCCGACTCATGCGCACGAACGCATAAATATAAGTAAATACAATTTTAAAACGCGACAATCATCCTTTTCCACAAGTCTGCCACGCTCTGCTACCGAGTCGTGGGACCCTCTTCTGGGCCTTTGAGAAACTGTCTCTTCCTGTCTCTCGGAGGCCCTCGCTGCCTGCCAGAAGGGGGCTCCCCAGGCGCCTCCGGGGCCAGCCTGGAGGAGGGGATTGCATGCCTGGCTGGAGGCCCCTTGTCTGAACAGAATCAGGATTTATCTCAGTTTGGGGAGGTCCAGGGCTCCGGGCCCTTAAATCCTCATTAGCCCCATCTAAGAGGCGGCTATGATCTGAGAGACAAGATGTATGGATTCCAAATTGGAAACAGCCCGGTGGGCTGCAGTGTGGGGAGACAGACAGGGAAAGAGGGTTAGGGCTGCTCTCTGGGGAGCCCAGGACAGCAGAGGAGTCCTGCAGACACGGTCACAGGAAAAGGAGGAGGAGGGAAGAAAAAACATTCCAGTCAGGCTCCAGGGAAGAGAGTTGTACAGCGATGGAGCTGGGCCAAGTCTGCGAGTCCAGGCGACCTCCTTGAGGAGACTGGGGCGAGGGCAGGCTAGTGCCGTTCACCACTTGAAGGGCCTGGCTCCGGGGCACACACCCTGGTGGGTCCTGTCTCGCCACACACAGCCACCCCAGGGAAATAGAAGACACCGTGTTTGCTCTACAGACGAGGAAACTGAGGCTCGCAAGTGGTATATGATCCTACCCAAGGTTCCCCTAGAGTACCTGCAAAATCGGGGATCCAACCTGGGTGCCGGGTCTCTCTAGGGCTTCGCCAGCACTCTGGGGGAAACAGAGTGAATAGCTGGTAAGGTTCGGATGGCCCCGGGCATGGGTGACTTCAGGCTAGAGACCGAAGAACAAAACTGAAGTTTCTCCTAAATATCGGGAAGTGGTGATCTTGCTGAGCAGAAACGTCATTTCAATGGAACATTTAACTGTTAAGAACAGATTTGAGGACTGGGGAGTGTAGCTCAGTACTTCAGCACTAACCTAGCACGTGTGAGGGAGAGGAGGGGAAGAGGAGGGAAGACGGAAGGGAGGGACGGGGAAGAGGGAGCTCCCTAGGTGGATGTGGAAGTGCTTCTCTGAGATCCCAGCACTTGAAGAAGCAAAGGATTGCTGCAAGTGGGAGGCCAGCCTGGACTGTGTGCCTAGATCCTGCCTGCAAAATAAAAAGAAGGTGAGGAGGAGGAGGAGAAAGAAGAAACGGAAAGGAAGGAAAGAGGCAGTGAAGAGGAAGAAAGGAAAGGAGGGAGGGAGGGAGGAAAGGAGGGAGGGAGGAAAGGAGGGAGGAAGAGAGGGTAGATATTGTGGTGTGAATCTATAATCCCAGAACTAGGGAGGCGGAGACAGGAGGGCTGCCACAGTGTAAGGCCAGCCTGGGCTATGTCTATGTATTAAGATTCTGCCTGAAGAAACAAAAAGACGAGGAGGAGGAGGGAGAGAAAAAAAGGGAAGGAAGAAATATGGTTGGATGGCCGGATGCAAGAGATTTACAGCTACACTGTTCCTTATTGTCCAAAATTCCTGTGACTGGATATATATTTTAAATAGAAGAAACGTATTCCAACATTTTATGACAATTTGGAAGCATCCAGCTGACTTGAACCAATGGCAAAATGGCTGAGTATTGTGCCCTTCCTAAATTCTCCCATTAACCTTTTGTAATGTTTTATCATTTATCCACCCATCCTGCAAGCCTAAATCCATCTTATTTTATTTTTCTAGCAGTGTAACTTGCAGACAGCCGTGCACCCTCCCCTAAAGGCTCGCACATGAACGCCCGCAAGCACAGCTTGCCTCTATATGTCATCCACGCTGGCCTCAAACATGTAAGCCTTGCGTCCATCTGTGGAAGGCTAGGTTTACAGGCATGAGCCACTACGCATGGCTAAACATTTGTTTGCTTGTGTGTTTACATGTATTTATTTGATTCGTATGTGCGTGTGTGTGCACGTGCAAGTGTGCCGTGTGGAAGGGAAGAAAATGGAAAAGAGGTAGGGGAGAGGGGGGAGGGGGGGGGGGGGGGGGGGGGGGGGGGGGGGGGGGGGGGGGGGGGGGGGGGGGGGGGGGGGGGGGGGGGAAGGAACCGCACATTTAACCAGACCTTCACAGACTGGATGTAGTTTCACACTTTTCTGAAGAAAGTAGAGGGAAAGTACGGGTTCTAAATATCCTTCCTCTGCATGCCCCTCCCCCTCCGCCGCACACATCCTGCCCTAAAGCCAGACCGTTCCTTCGCTTTTGTTGTTATTGTTCTGTTTTGACTTTGAACCCTGCACGCCGGAGTCGTTGGCACGGGTCTCTTTGCTTCATACCCAGCGGTTTATGACATAGTCATCACTTCTTAGAGACGGCGAACGGCGAAAGGACGGCTTGAAAGCCAGCTTGTACTTCTCAAAGCGATGAAGACATGTCTGTGGTTCCGCTTTGAAGCGCACCGGGAAGAAAAGAAGAAGGAAGGGGGGGGGGAGCGCTTGCTGTAACATTTAGCACGTGTAAAGGAATTCTGGCTAAATGGGCCACCTGTGCGTCTGGTGATCCGCTTCCAGCGTTTCCATAGTGGCTGGAAGGCGCTCAGCCTCGCTGATAAAACCCAGTGATGCGATGCTCAGCCCGCTTTGAGCCATCGCCTCGGAGTCTTGCCTGGTGCCCCCCCCCCCCCCACCACTCCTAGGATATGTGTTTTGGGAAATCGCCAACCTTTTCACAGATGAATGGATAACGTGGAACAAAGACTGAAAGCAACAAAGCGCCTCACAACCCCTCCCCCTTCCACACCGGGAACACTTGCCGGCCTTGAACTTGCTGTGTCCTAGAAGATGACCTTGAACTTGTAATCCTCCACGTCGCCCACACCGTGTTTACTTCTTGTGTGTGTACAGTCTGGGGCTCGAACTCACGCCCTCACGCACACTGGACACGCACTCTAAACTCTTTAAGTACAGACCCAGCCCATGTCCCGCTTTGTTTCGTTTTGAGTGGTGGTGGCCTTTAATCCCAGTAGAGGCAGGCGGATATCTGGGAGTTGGAGGCCAACCTGGTCTACAGAGCAAGTTCTAGGACAGACTCCAAAGCTACACAGAGAAACCCTGTGAGGAGGGGGGGGTATTTACATAATGGGGAGGGGATGCATGAGCTACCGTGCTATGTGC